TCGTCGTCCGCTGCAGGGAGCAGACGCGGCTGGGATCACCTTCGCCTCTCTCCCTGGGTCAGTCGCCCCGCAGCTCTGAGGCACGGTCCCCCCAGGCAAGGTTCCCGTGGCCGAATCTCCCCTGGACCCCATGGCGCTCCAGGCCCTTTGGTGGAGGCCCCCTCCCTGTGCCTCCTGCCGTGCCCCCTCACTTGTCCCCAGAAGCAGCTCCTCCTGCAGGGCCTCCCGAGTCAGGGCCGCAGACAGATGGCAGCAGCTCAGGAACGCGGCCACACAGGCCGGCTCAGGGCGGACGTGCCGGGTCCTCTCCTCGCACGACAGCCCCACGGGGTTCTCCCGGAGCCCAGCCTCACAGCACTTGCGCTCCAGCTCTGTGTTGAACTTGTTCACTGCGGGCCAGGTTAAGAGGGACGAGGAGGGGCTGAGCAGGGGCTGAGGACGCTGGGAGCCAGCCGCCTCAGGGCACGCACGCTTGGCCTTGCTTAGCCTGAACGCCGGCAGATGCGGGTCCTGGCACTTGGTCTATATCTTCCCCCTGAAAGCTCACATTGAACCCATATGGGGAGTTCTGATCGGGAAGCCGAGTGACAGAGGGGTCAGTTTCCTGGCCTAGGGCCACACACCTCCCAGTGGCAGGGCTGGGACTAGACTCCAGGCTGCTGCGGCTTCCCCGCCCCTCCCCGCCTCCTCCGTGTGCTCCTTTTTGACAAGATTGGTAACGCCATGTTTATGTCTAAAAGATGCCACTTCGGCTCCCAATTTTCATGATGTATTTGTAAAAAGCATAAACCTCGCCGTAATTATCGCAATTTAAAAATCTCGTTGTCCACCTTACAACACGGCTAGAAGATCCATAGTTAAATCGTAGAACGGATCAGTGCCGTTAAATAAATAAAACAGCAGTTCATATTACAAACTCTCTCCAGAAGGTGAGCATGATTTTTGATATGGAAATTATATTAGGGTTTTACCTTGATTTTTATTACATTTTACTTATCTTCTTTGCATTTAGTTCCACCAACTCCTAGCATGGCTCAAAGAGACGGAAAAATCTAACGCTCATAGAACACACGCTTCTGACACCAGCCAGAGGGGCCTCCCACCGTCCGGGAACGCCGGGCCCAGAGCCAAACGTTACCCATTGGCACTCAGCACCGACTTCTCCGCTTGTCTACATTCCCTCCTCCATCTGACATCTGAAAGCTGGGTTTCCCAGACTCTCTTGCTGCTGGAGTTCTGGCTGGAATTAGATTCTGCCCCCCAGAAGCTCTTGTGAAAGAGAAACAGAGCGTTTCCCCTGCAGCAGTGTAGCTAAGGAGTGGGCCTCAGTCTGTGTGGGTTTTAATGGGAAAAATTCCATGTTCCACTATCTCTTTGAGAAATATTGTCAGAAGTTTCCGGAGATTTCATGCATTGCAAGAACTGCAGGGGGGTGATCCTGAGTCCCAGTGAGCAGCCAGTCTGCAACTTTCCATTCCTATAGCCCAGTCAAGTAATGTTGAAAGCACCAAATTCCTAGGATTAAATCCCTCCCTGACTGCGTGAAGTACCTAGAATGGGTTCAGTTTGCGGTTTTAAGCCCTGATGAATCCAGTAGGTCAGGGAGCCAAGAGGGGGACATCCAGCTTTAGCTCTGACCTGCGTTCCTCTTGGTCTCCAGGCTCTTTAGGGAGCGGCGGCGGCGGCTGGGAGGGTGGCTCTGGGGGCAGTGCCAGTCTGGAGGCCAGAGGGAAGCATGAGGACAACTGTCAAGATCATTACCAACACCCTTGATGAAGTGTATTGTACGCCCCATGGGTGATGCCCATCACCTCATTCTATTCCATGGGTACCTCATATTTAAGATTCACCATGGAAAAGCTATACAGTCTTCAACAAGTCACAACCTCTCTGGGGCATTATTATTATTTTTTTTAAATTGATTTCAGAGAGGGAGAGAAGGGAGAGAGGCAGAGGGAGAGGGAGAGGGGAGAGGGAGAGGGAGAGGGAGAGGGGAGACAGAAACCATCAATGATAAGAGAGAGATCATCAACAGGCCTCCTGCACTCCCCCTACAGGGGACCGAGCCTGCAATCTGGCATGTGCCCTGATGGGGGATCCAACCGTGACCGCCTGGTTCATAGGTCAACGCTCAACCACTAGACAACACCAGCCGGGCGCTGGGGGTTACTTTCGCCAGCTATGTAAAGTGAGTACAATCATTGGAGTCATAGAGTTCTATCAATGGCATCGTGCATATAGATTGCAGTAGACAGAAACTCATGATGTAACTATTTATTGCTGAAAGAACACACTGCTAGTTGTCCCCAGTATCTATCCTCCTCCTCTCATCTGTAGCAACTAAACCTCCATCTTTATATATCACTCAGAATGAAGAGTACATTTCCCAGTACACGTCCCTTGGGCCTAGGTGGGGCCATGTGACTGAGTTCTGGCCAATGAATGTGAGAATAATGTCCTCTCTTTCCCTCTTCCCTTCATCCTCCTGCCTGAAATGAGGTTCAGATGAGGTGCTATCTTGGAATATGTCAGAACAATAAGCTAGAAGCAGCCTGAGTCCCAGAATGACCTCTGGATGGTGACTGAGTGAGAAATAAACTTCTATCTTATTTGAGCTGCTATTATTTTATCTCTGATTCGTATGGACAAACCTATACCTTAACTAAGACAGAGTGAGTTACTTGTATTATTATCCCCACTTTATGGACAGAGAAACCCAGACTCAGAGAAGAAATGTGACTGGCCCATGGTAAGTGCCAAGATCCTGAATTTTAGCCTGTTTGTTAGATGCCAAACCCCATGTTCTTAACCACTAGACAGCATTGCCTCCATCCCTGCCACCCTCCTGCCCACCTCCCACCCCCTGCCTGTACCTGAGCTTGCCAAGGTGTCCATCCCTGTGCTCATCTTCAGGTCCAACCCAGCATCCTTGAACACAGCTAGCCCGTCTTTCCCACTGCCGGCGGTGCAGCCAATGTCGTGTTCCTCCACCACATCCCAGACCTGGGGGGCCAGAGAGGAACCTGGACTTGGAGCCTGTATGACCCTCCAGGGAAGGAGCAATAATGCACTGTCATTGCTGGCTCAAGTAATAATTCTCACACTATCTGCCACTGATTGAGTTCTTACCACCTGCCAATCTCTAGGCTGTGCCCTAGCTACTTGCGTCCTTGCAACCGTTGATGTTGCATTTTACAGCTGAAGAAGAGGAAACTCCAGCTAGAATGTCCAGGCAACCTTTTGACCCCAAATGCACACGTACTCACCTTCTTCTGTGTGAGCTTGTGTTTGCTGTTCAAGACGTAAACAGCCTTGTCCACGGCCACAAGCCCCACTGTGGCCTCTGCATCACCTGTCACCTTTATGTCCACCTTGCTGTTGGGCTCCAAAGAACTGAAGGAGTCTTCATGATTTAAGCCAACCTTCAGCTGATCCAGGAAAAAGAGATATGTCATAAAAAAGGGCTTATAGACTGCCAAGGGGCTTCCCCAAGTCCACTTTTTTTTTTAGTTTATTGATTTTCAAAGAGAGAGGAAGAAGGGGAGAGGGAGAGGGAGAGAGAGAGAGAGAGAGAGAGAGAGAGAGAGAGAGAGGAAACATTGATGTGAGAGCACAACATTGATTGGCTGCCTCCTGCAGCCAATTGAGCCTGTAACCTGGGCTTGTGCCCTTGACCAGGAATTGAACCAACAACCTCCTGGTGCATGGGACAATGCCCAACCAACTGAGCCACACTGGCCAGGGGCTCAAGTTCACTTTCAGGTTCATGTTGCCTACAACTCTGATGGAGCATTAGGGAACTCCACCAGACCAATTCCAGCTCCACACATTTACTTGCATCATCTCCACTCCCTAGGTTGAGCTTTTAAAGCCACATCTCTTCCTCTTACACTCACTTGCCTCTAGGCTGGGAGCCCTTGAACTTGGACAGACCCTCTCCCGAGCTTTTTGATGGTGATGTACAACTTTAAGGAGTTTGGCTCACCGTCCCCATGCATCTGTCTTTCACATCAATCCATATGGAATCGGCTACCAATTCAGGGTTCTGGCCTGTTCCTCTGGGCAGTAAATAAAAGGCCAGGATGCGGAAGGAGGGCAGCATCTCTGAAGTCACATCAATGATGGCTGACGTGTAGACACTCCTGTGACGTTTTAATTGATGTTTGGTAGACACAATCTGACCCTTACTCAGGACCTTAAAAACAGGGGAAGCCAAGATGAGAAGGGTAGGGCCAGCCCACAAGAGAGGTCTTCAGTCCCTATGCTTCATTCCTTGGCCTGAGCCTACCCCAGATGGGTCCCACCTTCACACCATGTTCACAGTTCCTCCAACTCAGCTACCCAAGACTGTTCCAGGGAAAGAATTCTTTGGCTCAAGCCCTGGTCTTAGTCCCTCACCAGGATGGTGAAGTGAGTGATCTGATCCTTGGCTGCGGGGTTCAGATGCCTTGTGTGGAGGCTCAGCTGGAGGCTGCTGCCAACTTCAGTGTCAGACGTCTTCACCTCTATGTGCAGGAAGTTCCCTGACCCATCCTGAGTTGAGTAAGGCCAAGCAGTCATCCTGGCCGATGCTTGATCCTCTGGCCGGAGATCCTCATCAGTTACCACCTGGGGAGATTGATGGGCGACTAACTCTTGATACTTTCCATTTACACAACCCCACCATTTCTGCCCCATCAGATCGGTACCTGGATAGGGAGCTGCTTCAGCTGTGTGTCTGTGTTGATGGTTAGAGTGGCCACCCCACTGGGTGAGGTGTACATTTTGCGGTCTTGGCAGCGAACAAGAACTCCGGAGGCTGGGGACCCGTCAGGATTTGAGACGAAGACCTGAGGAGGAGTGTGGGGTGAGATAAAGGACAGGCCTGGGGGCGGCCTGCTGTGAGAGGTGGGAGCTGTGAATGCCACCTGGTTAGGGCTGCCTTGGACAGCTGTGCCAGTTGTGCACTGAGCAAACACCAGGGATACCATTCACACTAGAGTCTTTGTGAATGGCACCCCTAGAGCATTGCTGCGCACATCCATAGGTGGTAGCCCTGGGTATTGGTGTGCCTGTGGGGTGAGGGTAGGGTGGAATTGGGGGTGGAGCAGTAGGAGGAGACATGGAGGTCTTGGGTGGGGGGAACAGAGCAGGACTGGGACTAAAGTAATGCCCATCAGACACATCAAGGTCACCCCAAATGAATGTATGAGAAAACAGTGTGCTTACTGTGCAAATGCAGCCTCAAGATAAACCCTTAAGCACCATGTTCCAGCCTGACTGTGACTCCTAAGTTCCCATAGAGAAATTATGGAGCCCTCTCTGTGCTTTGGGAAGACATGGGTTAAGACTTGAGGAAACCTTGAGATTAATCTGGGGGCATGATGGACTCAACTCTAAGAAAGATTGGGGGCAGGTGAGTCCAATGTGGATTTTTATTTCTGGGGTGTGGCTGTTTGAGGGTGGGGCCCCTGAGTCCTTAAATGGAGTGAACTCAGACTCTGACCCTAAAATGGAAGGGCATCCCCGGCTTGAAATACTGGGGTGTCCTGGTGAACTTGATGTTGTATGGGCTCCGGGCGATCTTCACCGCTGAGGTCTCGGCCTGCACCATCTCACCCCCTGTAGAGAGAGGGGACCATGAGGTCTGTGGAGGAAATTTAATTTCTTGGGGGAGTGGCAGGGCGGCAGGTATGGGAGGCACATGTTGGAGATGATGACAGGGAAAGACAGTAACACAAGTTCAACTCCTGCCAGCCCTTCTGATGTTTCCCCATTTCTCTGATGAGGAAACGCAGGCAGGAGGCCACCTGTGGTCACGTGGGAGGAATGTCTGGGCTGAGAAGGAACACAGTGTCCTGAACTCAGCCGTGGGCCATGGGTGAGGGCAGCACCTGAGGAGAACACGGTGACGTTGACATAGATCGAGGCCCCTATGAAGTCCTCTTCTGGGCCTTGGAATGCAGCCATCAACGTGTCCTTCTGGAGGGAGACGTGACCCTCGCCTCTGGAGATCTGCTCTCAGGGCAGGAGAGAGGAGAGGAGGTGGTTTCGTGGGGAAGTGAAGGAGGGCTGGGGGGAAAGGAGACTGGGGAGGGGTCCGAATTGGTTACCTCCACCCTCTGTAGAGAACTTTGAATGGCGATCCGGCGGGAACCCAGCTTCACCCCGAAGATGGCCAGGGCATGTCCGTCCACCGGCTTGTTGAATATATACCTGGGGGATAAAGAGACGCTCCACTGGCTCTGAAGCCCCGCACAACCTTCCGTGGCTACAGAGACGGCCTGTATGATCTCAGAGGGCTGCAACGATGGCCGTGAAACTTGGGGAGGGGCAGAGGCGGCCCCCTGGAAGCTAAGGTTTCATTGCTGACCCACAAAATCCTGGGAGGTGACCAATATGTTACATAAAGCCTTGTTGAGTGGTAGATGTGGCTTGTGAAACCTCACGAGATGGTAGAGGTATATTATACTACGATTTGGAGCCACATAGGAGTCTGGGCAACCTGTGGGGTGGCAGAGGTGGCCTGTGCAGCATGATAAGGGTTCAGGAATGGTCTGTATAACGTTAAGAAGTGGCAGGAATGGCCCTTATAAGCTTAGGGGGACAACATGGCCTATACAACTTCATAGAGCTGTGGAGATGGTCAGTAAACCCCACAGGCAGCAGATATGGCATTTGTAGTCTCATAGTCTGCAGAGGTGATCTGGGTAACCTCACAAGGTGCTTGTGCAACCTTGTGGACCCTCCGAGGTGGTCCATACCATGAGATGTGGGGCGCTCCATTAGGTAGACAAGGTGGCCTGTACAACCCCAGAAGCCTGAAGGGATGGTCTGTACAACCTCACAGGTGGCAGACGTGGTCTGTACAACCTCGTGGGACGATGTGGGTGACCCAGAATATCTGATGGGTGTCAGAAAGTGCCTTCATGATGCCCCAAGTGCTATACACGTGACCCAATTCTTACTACCCTTCAGTTTCTTTTAAAAAAAAATATATTTTATTGATTTTTTACAGAGAGGAAGGGAGAGGGATAGAGAGTTAGAAACATCGATGAGAGAGAAACATCGATCAGCTGCCTCCTGCACACCTCCCACTGGGGATGTGCCCGCAACCAAGGTACATGCCCTTAACCGGAATCGAACCTGGGACCTTTCAGTCCGTAGGTCGATGCTCTATCCACTGAGCCAAATCAGTTAGGGCCCCTTCAGTTTCTTGGTGTCCTTGGTCCTCAGGCCAGGCTAAGAGTGAGGGGACTCACCAGGCCTGGATTTCCACACACAGAGATTCATCATTGAGGTAGAAGAAGCTCTTCTTTGGGATCAGCCGGACCTCAAAAGAAGGGAGCACTGGGCGGAGTAAAGGCAATGGACACTCTCAGCAACTCACCGTCCTCGCCCTAATCGCCTCCCTGTCCTGCTCCTTCCCTGGTCACTGTGGCCACCCCCAAGGACTGGAACATGCATCCCTGTTCACCGGCACCCAGTCCGGGCCCTGGCACACAGTAGGTGTGCCACAAGACCTCCTCTGCGTCTCCAGCCCTGCTTCTGGCTTGTCCCACCTCGCCCTCCCCGTCCCACGCTGCTCACCATACTCCTTCACGTCAAAGGCTGCTTTGAACTTCAGCTTGGTTGCACTTTGGTAACTGGCTTCAATGGTCCAGGTCCCAAAACTGAGGCACAGAAAGTTAGGAGAGATGGAGACTGAGGAGGCCCCTCCCACCCCCCCCGGCCCTAGGGCTCCCAGTAGGGCACCTGATGAGCTCTGGGAGGTGGAAGGTGGAAGGAGCTCGTGAAGATACCTCTGCTGGCCAGCAGATCCTGGCTGAGCACAGTGATCCCTTCTGGGTTCTGCGGGGACAGCGGGTAGGTGGTTCATGCCCCCAGGCCCTCAGCACATGATATAACCCCAGTGCCTGGGACCCACCCACCCTGCCAACCGGAGAGGCCACCTTGATGTCCAGAGTGAACGTCCTGGTCACAGGATCCATCTTGTGGTTCACAGCGAGCACCCGGTACTGAACTGGGGGAGGAGGAAGACGCTGAGTGTTGGGTAGAGTTTGGAGAGGGCTGTAGTCATTATAGTCTTGGGCAGTGGGGGGACCTAGGCAGGTGGGATACGTTGGGCATTGGGGGAGGCCGGGGGGAGAGGCGATGTCTGCTCCAGGCCCAGTGCGCAGAGGCTGTACCCATGTGCTCAGGGGTGTAGATGGTCTTGTCCGTCTGGATGAAGATGTAGCCAGCATGGGGAGCCACCAGCACAACCTTCTCCATGAACGAGGAGGTGGAGGTGGGTGCCCACGTTGCCCGGATGATGACATGCTGCTGCCCTGGTTGTGGGGGGTATACCAGGCTCTCGGGAATCTGGGGAGAGATGCCCACACTCCTCAGGCCCTGCTGGGGTCTCCATCCCTGGGAGCAAAGCCCTGGGCCAGATCTTGGGAGAGCCAACTGAGTGGGGGCCCTCCAGCTCTGCCTTTGGGAGCAAGGCCGCCCCGTGTGGCTGCACAGTTTGATCCCGCACAAGGACGTGGCCTCCAAGCGGAGATACATACAATCCAGGCCATGGTCAGTTTTCCAAGTCACCAGCAGAGGGCGCCTTTATAATTAGCACAGAGGCATCATATAGGCCAGTGGTCAGCAAACTGCGGCTTGCAAGCCACATGCGGCTTTTTGGCCCCTTGAGTGTGGCTCTTCCTAAGCCTTAGGAGTACCCTAATTAAGTTAATAACAATGTACCTGCCTATATAGTTTAAGTTTAAAAAACTTGGCTCTCAAAAGAAATTTCAATCGTTGTACTGATGATATTTGGCTCTGTTGACTAGTGAGTTTGCCGACCACTCATTATAGGCTAATAAGCATGGCCCTTCTGGGAGCCCAGATGAAGGGATTTTGGATTTCTAAATGGACAGAACATAAGAGGAGCACTAAGTAGACCCATGCCCTGCGTCTATTCCCTCGTGCATCTAGTGGAAATCCCCCCTAGAGCCTGCCGCTCTCCGCCCTTGCTGCCGGCCTGGAGCCTCCCTTTGTGGCCACCCATGCTGGCCTGTCTCTTACCGTCAGGGCTGCCTGGCTCATGAAGTGGTTTTCCGGTGAGAGAGTGAGCTGGCTTCTGGCCACCTCCGCCTTCTTCAGGGGGAAGTCCCACACAGTGAGGTTCACCTCCAGGGTCCCGGTAAGGGGCTGCCTGGAGTCCGAGTGAGCCTGCACGTGGATGTTCTCAGGGTTGCCGACCCGCAGGACTCGGGGGGTCACCAGGATATACCTGCCGGCAGACAAACACAGGGCCCAGGGGCCTCCAGTGGGGGAGGCAACGGCAGAGACCGACGGGGTCCCCTGCGGGGAGTCATAAAGACCACGGATGTGTAGGCAGGTTCCCCTCAGCTTCCCAGACTCACAGTGGCTCAGCATGGGTGAGGGGGATCCCCAAGAGGAGCAGAGTCAAGCCCAGGGACCAGGGCACGTCCATGGCAGTGGGACGGTGATGTGGGCCGCCGGCCACAGATGCCTGTCCTCTTGTTTGCCCGGCTCTGGCCTGTTTGCCTTGGCCTGCCCTGGCTGAGTTAATATCTAACAGACATGGGAGGGGATCTCCAGAGACCCAATGGGAGCAGAGCGGCTGCTCCTTCTTCTCAGCCAAGCCTCCCCTGGGGGCCAGGGACAGTAACGTATCCATTTCCCAATCACAGGTTGGAGCAGCCATAAGGCATTTAGCCGTGTGGCCCCAGGGTCCACCATAATGGAACCTTCTGAGAAATGCATGGCTCAGATCCTTTTGCTCTTTAAATTATATATATATATATATTTCTGAGAGGAAGGGAGAGGGAGATAGAAACATCAATGGTGAGAGAGAATCATTGACCACCACCTGTAACCCAGACATATGCCTTGACCGGAATTGAACCCAGAACCTTTCAGTTCGCCGGCCGATGCTCTATCCACTGAGCCAAACCAGCTAGGGCTAAATCTATATTTGTATTGATTTCAGAGAGGAAGGGAGAGGGAGAGAGGCATAGAAACATCAATGATGAGAGAGAATCATTGATATCATTGATGAACTGCTTCCTGTATGCCCCCCACTGGGGATTGAGCCCGAAACCTGGGCATGTGCCCTGACAGGGAATCAAACCCTGACCTCCTGGTTCATAGATTGACACTCAACCACTGAGCCACCACGACTGGGCTAATTTAAAAAAATAGATATTTTAATTGATTTCAGAGAGAGAGGAAGGGAGAGAGAGACAGAGAAATCTCAATGAGAGAAGCCATCCATCTGCTGCCTCCTGTGCACCCCTACCAGGGCATGTGCCCAACCAGAATCGAAACAGTGACCTCCTGGAGCATTGGACCGCCCTCGCTCCATGGAGCCACGCCTTTTGCTCGTGATCTTTCCGCACCCAGTATTGATGTTCTTGGTGAACGGAGGCGCAGAGATGAGTCGGACGACAGGATATGGAGAAGCAGAGGGCTACCGCTCGCTCAGGCGAATAGCCAAGATCCTCTGATCCCTCATGGCTTTTATTGGGGGTGAGCACAGCAAATAACAATGGAGTACAGCAAGTGACAATGATTAACAATGGGGTACAGCAAGTGACAATGATTAATAAACATGCTTTAAGAAATCATCAAAGCTAAGTTATACATTACACTATTAATTTCCTATATTATATAAAGATTCTTTCCACCTGCAGCAGTGCACCCTCCCCTGAACTTTCTATGCCTTCATGGACTATTCACCACGTCAAGGAAAGTTCTGCCTCGGAACAATAAGTCTCGCGTGCAAGACTTTGTTTTGACGCGGCCTGCTTGCAGGCTCACGCCTTCTCCCAGCAGAGCGTCCTCTTCTAGTTAACTTCTTTCCACTTTACCGCAACATTTTCCCCCTTTTTTGTTTTGCTTCAGGTTCATGACAGAAAAAATAGCACTGCGTTGATTGTTCACTGCTGCGGCTTTATGCGATCTTCTGCAGACTAAATATAGAACAAAGCAAAGTATCAATACTAGCAATAACAACCCTGAGGAGGTTTCCATTAATGCTTGAATATGTGGAATAGGATTCATGTTCTGTATCTCATTTATAAGACCTTGTAAAATTTGCTGTCCGGTTACCTCCTCTAATCTCTTTTGAAATGTTGTGTGAATATGATCTTAAAGATCAATAATTTCTTGTGTTAAATTGGCATGATTCAATAAGTGTTTCTTAACCTTATCCCAAGGAAAAGCTGTCTCATTGTAAGGCACAAGGGTGATACACAGACCAGTATGGTTCCAATCACATTTTAACTGTAATCGCCTTTGCAGGCTTACAATTTGGTCCCCTAATAAAGCTACTGTTTGTTCAAGATCGGCTATTTGTTCATTAATTTTACTATCAATTTTCCGTTGAGAACTCCATAACTGTTCTGAATCTTTATGCCATTCCTGAACAAAAGTAGCAGTTTGGACTGATCGCTGCAATGCCACCCCAGCCGTTGCTGCAGTCGCTGTTACAGCAATCAATCCTAGAATTGCAGCAATTAGTATGCCAATAAACCTTTTTGATCTCTTCAATATTCCTTCCGCAATAGATACAAGCTCTCTCTACTGTGATTAAAAGGTACAGAGTTATTTACACAGGTTAACAAAGTACAATTAAAACAAGATATTTCTCCAGCAGTTTGATTCCATTGGACTGGACCCTTTTTCATCTGGTTTCAAAGGCCCACGATCTTTAAAAAGTCCAGGCATCCAATTAGAGTCATTAGTTACAGGGCCTTCCATGGGCAGTCACAAGGCATTCCCCTTCCTGGCATAGGCGCTTCACCTGTCCCCATGTCGGTGGAGAAATGTTTCGGGTGCGAGGCAACTGCGTGCGAATTGTTTGTCCTCTCTGGATGGTTAGCTGTGCAAACCGGTCTTCTAGTCCCGCCTCATCACGCTTCCTCTTGCTCGCCATGCCTTAGCTTGATTCTTTTATCAGGAATCTAGAACTTCTTAGTTCCTGTGGAAACATAAGCATAGCCTCGACCCCACCTTAAAACGGTAGTCGGGCACCATTGATTAGTAGTGACATCTTGATACATAATAGGTTGTTCTACCGGGACCTCCTGTTTATGTTCCCAATGCATTTCGGCAGCTGACACTGCATCTGTATTCAAATTTAAAAAATTTAAAGTAAATAGAGCTCTTAATAATCTTCATCGGGGAGTCTGGCTTGATACCAGCTCTTCTCCCCCTTTTTGTTTTTGCAGCATTTCCTTAAGGGTGCGATTCTGTCGTTCAATAATTGCTTGACCTGTACTGTTTCCAGGAATTCCTGTAATATGTTTAATATCAAATTGTTGAAAAAATTGTTGACACTTACCTGATAAATATGCTGAGCCATTGTCAGTTTTAATGGCTCGGGGCTTGCCCATTACAGCAAAGGCTTTCATGCTGGATTTGGAATTCCAGGTTGTAAAGGTTCTATAGGTTTAATAATCTCATTAATCCTTCTTAAATCAGTTAACATTCTCCATTTATCTGGTTTTTTCTTTATAACAAAGACAGGGGAATTCCATGGACTAGAGCTGGCTTCTATATGCCCTAGTTGTATTTATTCTTTGATAATAATTTGGAGCACTTCCAACTTTTTTCTTGTTCGGGGCCACTGCTCTACCCAAACCGGTTCAGTTGTTTTCCATTTTAAAGGCAGGGCGAAGCGCTTTGAAGTGGCCCCCTCTATAAATTTTGGTCCTGAACACTGGTGCCAGTGACGCCAGCACCAGCTTGACAAATCATTTGTCTATGACCTTTCAGAAGAGAAGGTATAGTAATTGTAGCCCCCCATTGTTGTAAAAGATCTCTTCCCCACAAAGATAGTGCAATGGAGGCAACATATGGCTGTATTTTGCCTTTTTGTCCTTCAGGCCCCTGACATTCAAGTACATTAGAGCTTTGTAAAATTTCAGTGAGGTTTACAACCTGTAAAAGTTGTATTCACCTTGTGTACCGGCCAAGATTGAGGCCAGTGCAAAGTAGAAACTATAGTTACATCAGCCCTAGAATCCACTAGGTTGATAATTTTTATTCCCTCCAGGAATAAATTGTAAAAATTGAGGTCTTTGGCCTCCTAAAATTGTATGTTAAAAAACCTTTTTTCCTGTGCTACTAAATCTTCTAGTTTGCTTAACTGGTGCTGTATGCCCTATTTGTTTATAGGGAAGTAATAATAACTGTGCCATTTTTTCCAGCCTTTATATTTATAATACTAAAAGCAGACATCATAACTTATATTTCTCCTTCATAATTTGCATTAATAACTCCAGGAGCATGTTTAGCTTTCCCTTGTGGGACTTTTGCCTTCAGACCATTTTTTTTTTTCCATATGTCCCACTTTCCCACATCCATAGCATTTAGCAGGATGGGAATTTTAATGCATCAGCAAGAAGAGTATTATTATTATTATTATTAATTATTTATATAAGATTTTAATAAGATTATTATTATTATTATATTAATATTATTTATATAACTTTAGAAAATGATTGGACTGGGATGCTAGCCTCCTCTATTTTTGACCAAGCCTTTAAGCAACAAGTTCTAATTTGTGCAATAACAGCATCCTCTAACAGCACCTGTTGCTGTAAGCTACTATGTGTTCCAGTTCCTGTTAACTGGTCAAAATTACATCTAGGTGGGTTTTCTTGGGCGTTAATCATCGCCACTCTCCTGGCTTCTTCCCACCACCAGGATTTAAATTTCAGATATTGCCCTGGGGCTAATACTGCCTTAGCTATAGCATTCCAAGTATAAGGAATTAATTTATAATCTGTATAAATTAATTTTATATTAATTAATATATAAAAATTAATAACATATATAATTATATATAATAATATTATAATTAATAATACATATAACCCTTGAGGGTATTGAGCATTAGCAGCTCTTTGTGTCCTCAGGAGGTGGGTGGAGGCTCAACTGCTAACTCCAGATTAATGGCTAGTGCTGCTTTACTTTCACTTTTCGGCGGCGGTGCAGCCAACTCCTGAGGGCTTTTATTCTCTTTCTTTTCCTTACTACTGTAAGTAATAATTCTTTTAAACTCCCTAAAAGTTCCTTCATCTCTGTTTCCCTTCTCGCCACTCTTCTTTTCCTTAACTTAGGGTGAGGGCATCGATCATCTTCGGAACCAGCAGAAGATGAATCATCGAGCTCTGAATCGCTGGCTGAGGTTATTCTTTCATAACCCCCTACTTCATTTTTATCCCTAGCTTTCTGTCTTTTACTTGACTCCCTCGGTTCAGTGACCTCTAACGGGAGCGGCTCGGGTGGTAGTGATTTCCCAGGAGGGAGAGGCTCAGGATTTAAACATTCAGCTCCTGGAGCAGCACTTTGTGACTTCATAGGAATTTCTTTACAATCTTCAGAATCAGACTGAAAAGGCTGTAAAGCTAACGTTACTAAATTAAAAACAGCCCATACATCAGCCTCTATAGCATTTCCCTGTTGGTGAGCCCTTCTTAATGACCTTCCAATTTGTTTCCACAATTTAAGATTTAACTGCTGTTTTCCTTCTGGGTTAAACCAATAACAGTGCTGCTGAATTGCTTCAAACAATTTTTTTTTTATTAAATTTTTATTGTTCAGATTACATTTGTTCCTCTCCCCCCCCCCATAACTCCCCTCCTTCCAGTTCCCACCCCACCCTCCGCCCTCACTCCCCACCCACTGTCCTCATCCATAGGTGCACGATTTTTGTCCAGTCTCTTCCCGAATCTCCCATTCCCCTTTCCCCCCCAAGAATAGTCAGTCCATTCCCTTTCTATGTCCCTGTTTCATTATAATCACCAGTTCATTCTGTACATCAGATTATTTATTCACTTGATTCTTAGATTCACTTGTTGATAGATGCATGTTTGTTGTTCACAATTTGTATCTTTACCTTTTTCTTCTTCCTCTTCTTAAAGGATACCTTTCAGTATTTCGTATAATACTGGTTTGGCGGTGATGAACTCCTTTAGCTTTTCCTTGTCTGTGAAGCTCTTTATCTGACCTTCAATTCTGAATGATAGCTTTGCTGGATAAAGTAATCTTGGTTGTAGGTTCTTGGTATTCAGCACTTTGAATATTTCTTGCCATTCCCTTCTGGCCTGCAAAGTTTCTGTTGAGAAATCAGCTGACAGTCGTATGGGTATTCCCTTGTAGGTAATTGAGTCTCTTTCTCTTGCTGCTTTTAAGATTCTCTCTTTGTCTTTTGCTCTTGGCATTTTAATTATGATATGTCTTGGTGTGGTCCTCTTTGGATTTCTTTTGTTTGGGGTTCTCTGCGCTTCTTGGACCTGTAAGTCCATTTCTTTCACCAGGTGGGGGAAGTTCTCTGCCATTATTTCTTCAAATAGGTTTTCAATATCTTGCTGTCTCTCATCTTCTGGCACTCCTATTATTCTGATGTTGGTACGCTTGTAGCTGTCCCAGAGGCTCCTTACACTATCTTCACACTTTTGGATTCTTTTTTCATTTTGCTTTTCCAGTTGGGTGTTTTTTGCTTCTTCGGTTTGATTCTTGTGCTCCTCTGGTCTGCTATTGGGTATAATATTCTTTATTTCAGTCCGTGTATGCTCACTTTCTAATTTCTTTATCGTAGCATCGAGGGTCTCATTAGTTTTCGTGAGGCTCTGCTCAAGTTTATGGCAAGCCCTCAAAATTGCGATTCTTAGCTCCATATCCTCCATTTCTGTCATGTTTTTTTGTCTCCGCATCTTTTATGCTTTCTTGGTGCACCCCCTTGTGGTCTTTGTGCGCAGTCTTGTTTTAGCCAAGCCTTAATTGTTGTAGTTAACACTAGAGGGATTTGACCACCAGGCCGACTGGCTGTAGGAATCAGCTGTGTGGAAAACTTCAGTCCTCTGGGGAGGCGCTAGTCCAGCCTTTGCCTGAGGCGATTGGCAAATGGCTGTGCGCAGGGTTTGGGCGGGGCAGGCTCAACAGGGCGGGGGGAGGGAGCAGCTATGACTGCTCTCAGTCCGTCTCCAGGGGCTCTGCCTCTCTGTCCCTGCAACCGCTGCAAACCTCGGAGGGACCGTAGCCAGACAGTCCCGCTTCTCCCGTTTGAGTCAGGGTCCCTAGAGACTTGCCCGGATCTGTAGCCCAGAGTCTGAGACTCACTCCTGATTGAAAACGACAACCGCGCCCTCAGCCACCAGCCTGCTTTGCGCGCACCGCCGCACCACCGTACCTTTAAATTTTCTACACTGCGCCTCCTCAAAGCCTCGTAATGCTGTTGTTTTTCCTTCTAGTTGCTTCTAGTTGAAGAGTCTCTCCTCAGCCAGCCTTCCTGTGGTTCTGGGTGATGTCCGTTCCGTCTTTTAGTTGTATTTTTGAAGTGGTTGTTCGAGGCAGCAAACTCCGGTGTTTACCTATGCCGCCATCTTGGTTTCCGCTTCAAACAATTTTTTAAAAGCCTCATTCTTCACTTTTACCCCTGAACTCTTTAACAATGATCTCAAGACAGCTATATATTGACTCTGCATCGATGGGCTAGTCCCCATACTCGGCTTCTATTGCCGAAAGTTCCGCGTACTCGGCGCTGGCATCTCCCTTTCGGTCCCACGCCCCTTAGACTCACCCCTGGTCCCTGCTCGTGGCGCCAGATATTGACGTTCTTGGTGAACGGAGGCACAGAGATGAGTCGGACGACAGGATACAGAGAAGCAGAGGGCTACCGCTCGCTCAGGCGAATAGCCAAGATCCTCTGATCCCTCATGGCTTTTATTGGGGGTGAGCACAGCAAATAACAATGGAGTACAGCAAGTGACAATGATTAACAATGGGGTACAGCAAGTGACAATGATTAATAAACATGCTTTAAGAAATCATCAAAGCTAAGTTATACATTACACTATTAATTTCCTATATTATATAAAGATTCTTTCCACCTGCAGCAGTGCACCCTCCCCTGAACTTTCTATGCCTTCATGGACTATTCATCACGTCAAGGAAAGTTCTGCCTCGGAACAATAAGTCTCGCGTGCAAGACTTTGTTCTGACGCGGCCTGCTTGCAGGCTCACGCCTTCTCCCGGCAGAGCGTCCTCTTCTAGTTAACTTCTTTCCACTTTACCGCAACACCCAGCATCTTTCTCCTTCTTTGCAGGAGACAGTTATGCTTGGTAAACTGTGACCATTGTCCTTTGTCCCTAAATCATGCCAAGCTCTTCTGGGCTCCTTTTCCAAAGGCGAATTATACATATTAAACCGGGGACAAAACACATCATGCTTGAAGCATCTCTGGAAGAAAGCTTTCTCTGTTCGGAAATAATTCTCTCTGACTGTTTAAAGAGCCCATTAAGGATGAAGGGCCGCTTTGTGGTGTCTGCCTCTCAGAAGCAGGCGGGGTCGCAGACAAGGTTGTCTGGTTTTTCCTTCTTCTGGGAACTCAGGGCTGCTAGCTTGGGGAGGGGGGTCTTGCCTCTTGGAGGGCCCCAGATCTCCCCAAACAACGATGATATACATTTATCCAACAAAGATTCATTCAGTATCTACCAGGAGCCCAGCCCTACTTAGCATGCTGGGGACACGGCAGTGACCACAACAGACAGAATCTCTCCTGGGCCGCAGGTGTGCCTTCTTCTTAAACCCCCTCGCCTTCCGTGCATTAGATTCAACACGTGCTGACTTTCCAGACCATCCTTGCAGAGCACTGGAACCCCACGTGTGTCCGAAACAAGGGGGGTGTTATGCCCAGATTTCAAGATTCCCAAGAAACCACATCAGGGAGCCAGCCAATCCGATGCAAAAGCATAAGAATCTGTATTTCAAGCTAGCTTGAGCTCCCGTCCACCAGACTCACCGACACAACGGCAAACCAAGTGGCTGAGAGAGTGAACCCCCGCGTAGAGACGGGCTTTATGGGGGGGGGTTGGAGTAAGGGGAGGAGAAAGGACTGTGCTCTGCCACCTGGGTGTGGCTAGCAGAGTAGGACGCAGCCCCTACCCTGGGGCAAGATGGAGGACCTAGCCCTCGCCCTTTCAGGGGGCAGATAGCATCTAGCTATTGATTCCTCGGGCATTTATTGAGCACTTACTATGTGCCAGACGCTGTTTTACGTGCTCTGTGTACATTCACATGAGTCTCACAGCCGTGCTGAAGTAAGAATTAGCACCCATTGTACAGATGGGGAAACCGAGGCCCCAGGAGGGTGAGCCACGTGCGGTGTGGCACGCAGATGAGCTAAGAGGACGGGCAAGGCGCTTACATCCGTGGTAAACAATCTCTTAGTAAGCAAGGAATCAGCAGAATCAAATTAAGGCCTGGGTTGGTGAAGCAGGTGACATCTAACTTAGGAGGTCCTAGAACTTTGGTGTTCATCTGGGGTGGCCCAGGCTCTCAGGGAATCTCCATCGGTCTGGCCAGCTCTCCCTTGGCTGTGATGAGCTCTCTCCTTCCCCTCTTTGTCCCGCACCAGGTGTCCATGCCCCCCACGCCGACCCTGCCCTATCCCAGAGCCTCCCAGGTCCAGGACAGGGTGTTGTCCAAAGGCAAGTGGCTCAGAGGCACTAGCCTCAGTCCCTCCCACTTTCTCTCCCGGCTGGGCTCCCTCGGGCAGTTCCAGTGGCTCTGTCTTCCGAGTGGGAATCCTTGCCAGGTGGTCACATCTGAGCCTTTTTTGAAACATGCTCAGGCCTGTGGCTCCCTTGAGCTTCTGTTTGACTTGGGGGTGGTCCCAGGAAGGGAAAAAGTGCCCTTGCTGGCTCAGGTAGGAAGTGTAAAGAGCTCTCAGCCGATGAACAACAGAGGAGACAGCAAACACTGAAAGCAAACAGGGTGGGGGTGGGGTGGGGTGCCTGTTGGGATATGACCTTGCCATCCAATGAACAAATGGATGGAGACAAAAGCAGGTACTGGGTGAGCGAGTGGTAGCAGACACTCTCATCTCCTACAACTGTTCCCTCTTACCCCGCCCCCCCCCAGATCCCCCCAAAGAAGAATGACAAGCCTTTGTTCAGTTACTGTGCATTAGGCACCTATTGTGTACCTGGCCTTGTTGTAGGCACTGGGGACACAGCAGTGAGCAACACAAAACTCTCGCCCTTTGGGAGTGGAGAGGTACTGCAGACACGTCCACCAGGACTGTCTCTCTCTTTTAAAAAAAATATGTTTTGTTGATTTCAGAGAGGAAAGGAGAAAAAGAGAGAGACGGAAGCATCAACGATGAGAGAGAACCATTGATCAGAGACTGCGACAGGGGCATGTGCCCTGACCGGGAATCGAACGGTGGCCTCCTGGTTCATAGGTCAACGCTTAACCTCTGACCACACCGGCTGGCCCAGGACTGTCTCTTTAAATCCTTTCAGCAACTTAACCCACGGCCCCATTTTGCTGATGAAAAAACCCAGGCACCGGAGGGTGAAGTGTCCTGCCCCAAATTTTGCAGCTTGGAAACTGAGGCACAGGGAGGTTGAGCGACTTTCCCAGGGTTACGCAGCAGTTAAGCGATGGAGCTGAGCTTCTGCACCCGGGCTTAAGGGGGAGCAGGAGGAGGGTAAGAGGTGGGGAGAGCAGCTGTGGGCTCCACCTGCCCCCTCCAGCCGGTCATGGTCAAGTTCAGTCTCTCGCTTGGCCACGAGAGGGCGCCAGCTAGCCTCCGGCCAGACGCCGGGGAGGTACCGGCCCCTCCCGCAGGAATGCGGGCGGCGGAGGGCGGGGAAGTGGGCCGCTCGCCCGGAGCAGCTGCTGCTGCCGCCGCTCAGATTCCGCCGGCCATCCTCGCCCTGGAAGCCCGGGTCTGCAGCGAAGAGGCCGGCGCGGGAGGAAAGGCCTTGCAGGGATGTGTGGTCTGTCTTCCCCTCCGCCTCCTCCTCCAGGGCTTCCAGCCGGGGCTTCCCGGGAAAGGCCGGGCTTCCCGGGAAAGGCCGGGCTGGACCAGGAGGCCAGGGATAATACCCATATGAACACCAAAGGGCTGTCGTTTCTGAAACAGCTACCACGTTCTGGCACTCAGTAGGGACTTTCTCTCCGGCAACGCCTCTATTTTACAGACGAGGAAAGGGCCCTTGCTGGCTCAGGTAGGAGGTGTCAAGAGCGCTCGGCTTGGACTGTGCAGCCAGGAGGTGCCCAGCGTAGTCACTTCCAGTCCCAACCATGGCCCAGGGCTAGGAGGGTCTCACTGTAATGTGTTAACTTCCCCACCCACCCATTCATTCATTTGTCAGATATTTGGGTATCGATCATGTTGTGGATCCTGGGGATACGGCCGAGCACACAGACAACAATCTCCTCTCTATGAAGCTGACATTCTAGTGGGTAGAGATGGGCAAGAAACAAACTGTGACTATAGCTGTAGCACGTCTGTCAGTGATGAGAAAGAACGTGGTTTTAGGGGATGGAGTGACAGGGGGGTCAGGGGGGACCTCTCTGGGTTGGTGACCTTTGAGCACCGTAAGGAGGTGGAGCAGGAAACCACGTGGCCATAAGAGGAAAGCATTCCAGGCGGAAGGAACAGCCAGCGCAAAGGCCCTGAGGCGGGAGTGTGCACGGCATGTTCAAGGAGCAGCAAGGAGGTCTGCGTTCCTGGAATGAAGTGGGTGAAGGGGAGAGAGTGGAAGATGAGTGGAGACAGGTATTCAGGGATGAGATCAGGTAGGAGACCTGACGGTTGGTGATTCGAGTCTAAGTAAGAGGGGAAACCATCGAAGAGTTTTGAAAAGAGGGGTGATATTATTTTTCTGTTTTAGTAGAATCATTTTGGGTATGTCCTTTGTTACTATGACTTGAAATCCAAAATTCATCAGTACAGGACTGATTGCATAAATTATCATTCATGGATATATATATTTAAATATATATATATTTTATTGGTTTCAGAGAGGAAGGGAGAGGGAGAGGGAGATAGAAACAACAGTGATGAGAAAGAATCATTGATCGGCTGCCTCCTGCACGCCCCCTACTGGGGATCAAATCCACAACCCAGGCATGTGCCCTGACTGGGAATTGAACCATGACCTTCTGGTTTATAGGTCAATGCTCAATCACTGACCAACACCAGGAGGGCCATGGATATTTTTTCCATTGATTTTTAGAGAGAGTGGAAGGGAGGGAGGGGGAGAGAGAAGAGAGAGAGAGAGAGAGAGAGAGAGAGAGAAAGGGAGAGAGAGAAACATCAATTGGTTGTGGATCCGGCCAACGCTCTAACCTCTGAGCCACACAGGCCAGGGCAGAATTGTTTTTATTTTTTTTATTTTTTATTTTTTTCAGAATTGTTTTTTTAAAAAATCCTTTAATTATGTAACCCCCCCCCCAAAAAAAAACAACCCCACAATTGTGAACATTTTACTTATTCAAAAGATCTTCTTAAGGCTCCCCTGGGCTGCTATGGGGAGAGTGGATTGTAGGGGCAAATGTAGAAGGCAGGAGGGGAAGAGGGCTGGAGCAATACTCCAAGGGAGAAATGGTGGTGGCTGGACTAGTGTGGAGGCCACGAAGGTGTGCGACGTGGTTGGTCACGTGAATGAGATCTCCTGATATATTTATTGGCTGTGAGGTGTGACAGAGAGGAACTAGAGATGACTCCAAGATTTTTGGCCGGAGCCACTGGAGGAACGAACTTGTCTTTGTTACGATGGGGAAGACAGAGGGATCAGGTATGAGTGTTGAAATAAGAAGCAAAGGTTGGTGTGTCCTGAACACTCTTTGAACTGCCAATCTCTGTTGACTCCGTGGTAAACAATACAATAGCAAACGCATCCAGCTAGTTAATAACAGTTGTCTCCCCTACCCCCCACACTTATTTTTATAGTTGCCATCTGGATCGGTGATGCTTCTTCCTTAAATGCATCCGAAGCTGACTCAGGGTGAGTTAAGCTGCAAAGGAATTTATTGCCTGTATGCTGGGGCTCATGCA